ATGTGTTGGTAAACATGCTGGCCATGAAACCCCGACTGATAATGATCTGAATCAGTCACCATTATCATAATATTGGCTCAGTCAAACATTGCATAAGATATGTGATGAAACAGTCGAGAAATCAATTTATAGTAAAGAACAGGAGGCATTAGATTTACGGCTTCCATAATTCGACTTGGGAATCAGCCCGACAAAGACAGCAAAACCATCCACTGTCACAAAGCCAAGCTCAAAGGATAAAGGAAAAGATGTCTACATCGTTGATGATGTGAAGTTGAAAAAATCCAACTGGTTCACCGGATGGCATAGTGAAGACGATACCACCAAGCACCTGAAGTCAACATACGTTACAGCTTCTCAGAGGAGTGTTCGCTTGGGAGATCACCTAAGCTCACCTTTCATAAGGCGGGCTATAGACATGAAGGTAAGTGTAGAAGATGGGCGTATACACGAGTGGGCGCTCGCAGAAATTGGATCAACCTTGTAAGTATATGTTTGTACTTAATATTGACTGTCTTAAATTGTTACCAAATGAGATTACTAACACATTATCAATGACATATGTTTTGACTAATATGCGTATGTGTTACGTTGCACATCTATAGTGATATTGTCTTCGAATTGGAGAATTCTACGAACATATTGCGGGGTAATTTGGCAAGCCTAGATCCAAATCCATTGTCTACAGAAATGTTATAGATGGATGGGCTGAATTGCTAAACATGGAAGAAATGTATAGAAGCCGTGACTCACTTCGTCGTTTTTTTTCTTTTAATACAATTGTATTGGTAAGATTTATAAGATTAATGAAGTTATTTCAAATGAAACAAAACATGATTTCATGAATGTTATCTGACTAAGTGACTACCACACAGGGAGATCCGAAGCTACGGACTCAGCAGGCATATTTTAATGTTCAGTATGACATTTTCAGCAATTACCTAGCTAAATCAGTTCGCTTCGACATGGAAGTTATTAAAATGTGAAATATGGATCTGGTATGCTCAGCATTTACTTTTTTTTTTTGGCATTTAAAATTACATAGACATTTATTTTTCACATGACATTACGTAACAGTTAAACACACACATGCTTTCTTCCCTATTATGGACTGTGGTCACTACTACTTGGTGGTGTTTAACTTCAAGAACCTATCAATTGTTGTAATAGACAACATATTTTGGAAAGGATGTCAGATCGAAGACGATATGGGTTTGTATGAACACGTTGTCGACTTATTAGTATGTATACTAACTAGACAATCACTCTCGTACTTGTATTTTCTCCCCAAATTATGTTTTACAATTGATTATTTCTTTGTCCAGCATCGGTTTATGATCAAGCACCTAAGAGCTGTAGGCCATCCTAGCTGGCAAGAAATAGATGAAACGGGTCATGACCGCTTGGAAATGAGTTGGCAAACTAAAAACAATTTCGAGGATGGAGGTGTGTTCTTGATGAGGCATATGGAAAGTTGGATGGGAGATGAAAGGTCATGGAAGACCGAGTTCACTACAGAAGGGCAGAATCAAAGAACCCAACTAACTAATCTAAGGAAGAAATACACGGCAAAGTTAGTACTCAGCAACTTCAGCAAAAGAAGGAAGTCAATCGTGAGAGAGGTTGATCAGTTTAATGCAATGGATACCGAGGATAAAAAGAAAGCAATAGAACAGGCAAAAGCAACAAAGAGATCTGCCATAGGCATTATCGTTCAATCGTAGCAATCCATGGATTTAGCGTTTTTAATTTTGTGTTTGTTTGTTGATTTGATCTTAGTTTGATTGTCAAGTATGTGTAAATCATGTTTGTTTAGCAGTTTAGAGGCTGTTTTAATCAAATATTGACCGGTTTAGTTGATCTTCTTGATTAGTTGTTGAGCGGTTTAGTTGAGTGGTATATCAATGAATGCTTACATGGATTATTGTTTGATTTAGCTGTCCAAAGTTGACTGTTTTTAATCAAGACTTTTTGTCCGAATTACATATCCGGACAGCATATGTTGAGTAATTCATTCATGCAGTGTGCGGTTTAGATACATGCAGTGACATGTTTACCTTCATGCTGTGTGCGGTTTAGATACATGCAGTGACAGGTTTACCTTCATGCAGTGTGTGGTTTAGATACATGCAGTGACAGGTTCACCTTCATGCAGTGTGCGGTTTAGATACACGCAGTGACAGGTTTATCTTCATGCAGTGTCCGATTTAAGATTTATGCTGTGACAGGTTTAGCTCCATGCAATAATCGGTTTAGTCTCATTCATTGACCGAATTTACTTCATTCAATGACCGGATAAGAAATTCATGCAGTGAACGATTTATTTCACATCTCTTGATCGGATAAGACTGCATGTGGTGAGTGGTTTAAGGAACATAACTTGACCGGTTTATATCACTTCTTGTTTTGACATTGAGCGATTTATCCACATATCTTGAGTGAAATGTGTTATTCTTAGCTGCATATTGAGTATTTTTAAWCARCATMTTGATTGATTTAAAAGGCTGAGTTTGAGCAGATTTGTTAAGCAGATTTGAAGCTAAGTGTTGAGCAGCCTGTGTTAAGTGAGTAGAAGTTGCTTCTTGAGCGGACTTTGTGCGGATAAGAGGTTAGCTTTGTGCGGATAAGAGGTTAACTTTGAGTGGTTTAAGTCGTTTCTTGACCGGATTAAGACACAATGTGGTGTATTGATTCATACTAACATTTCATCTGTTTGTGAGTTTGAGAATTGAGTGATGTGTGAATTTTCAGAAATTGTGTAATTCTTTTAGTTCGTTTTTCTTTAATCAATTTTCTTGAACTACATAGATCCTTAACTGATAATTTTTTTTTTAATAGCAGATATTATATAAGTGTTGAGAGAGAAGATTGCTGAGCTAGAAAAGAGTATTGTGGATTATAAAATTCAGAATTATTGTAGTGAGAAATGTATTGAAACTTTGAATCGGGAGAATAAAGAAAAGTTAGAAAGAGTTAAGAATGATTCCAAGTCTCAGATTAATGAATATAAAATTCAGATTGATAAACTTAAAAATTCCTTGAATGATGTCAGAATAAAATGCCATAAAGAGATAAATATGAGGATTAAGACTAATAACAAATTGTTCTCTAAATTTCAAAAAGTTCAAAATGAACAAACTGCTGAGAGGAACTCTCCAAGGAACAATACAGAGATAGAGAATTTAACTGAGAAGTTCCATAAGTCTGAGAATGATCTGAATGAGTTAAAGAAATTACTGGACTTAGAGAAGGAGAAATATCTGACAGCAGAAAAGAATTTGGATGTGGAAAGAGCAGAGTTTGAGAAGGAGAAGAATAGATTCATTCAAGTTGAAAGAAAGTTTGGAACTGAACGTGAATCTTACGAGAATAAGATTAACTCTCTCGAGCTGAATGCAAAGATGCTTCTAAAGCAAATTTCGGATTTTGAGCAGCTTATCATTTTGGAACGAGCCAAGAACGCTAAAGAAAAGAAAGACATCTCTGAAGACTGTCAGAGCCAACTACAAAAATTGTCTGAAAGCATTGATCTAAAGCAAAAGGCTTTAGACAATGAGAAAAAGCAATTTGCTATTGAGAAAAGAAATACTTGAAAGAAGTATACAACAATTGCCAAAGAACTTACTGAGAAAAGGAAGTGGATTGACATCGCTTCGGAGAATGACAAAAGCAGCTCAGATGAAGAGAAACGAGAGTTGATTAATCAGAAGAAAAAGTTTGAAATGCTACAGAAGGAGTTAGAAGGTAAACTCYTRGATACTTCAAAGAAATTGTCTGATCTAAAGACAGACCTTGAAACTGAATTGAACGTGAGAACTGAACTGAAAAAGAAATATGATTTAGTTACTATAGAAAGAGACCAGCTTTTACAAAAAGTCAAAGACTTTTCGTGTGCTCAAAGCTCAACTGGTTCTCCTTCTCAGTGTAAAACCAGCTTTTATAATTGTTCTTATTTGAACAGTTATTCAAGTAGTCCTAAATCTAATGTTTCTAAGAACTATTCTCGTTCTAATCAGTACTATCAAGGGTATGTCATTGGATCACCCAATTATCATTCAAAGATTAAAAGCATTTGGGTTAATAAGTCTGAATCTGTTTATCTCATACACCTGTTGGTACTAATAATCTTCCTTGCCTTGTGAAATCCACTAATGATCTGATCCATCTTAGCAAATCCGCCTCATTGAATGTTGGGACTTCCGCCTCATCGTTCCCTCGAGCCGGTCAAATCCGCGTTTCTTAAACCCAACGCTCATGTAGCAATGCAGGAGCATCCCACATTGGTGAGGCTAGGGGGATTCGTCTTCCTTATAAGGAAGGGGGGATCTTACTCCTACCAATGACGCGTTTTGAAGCTGTGAGGGGTTGTTGCCGAGAGGGGCAGCCCAAAGCGGACAATATCATGTGGGCGGTTCCCTAGTTTTCGGTCCAACACCTGGTAAACCAAATTTCCTTCACACGGAAGTTTACATACAGCAACGATAACAATATCCGTTTGTATGCACCTGTTTCACATTCACTTTTCTAAACAATAAATATGTACCATTATGCAAAAAACCAACTAGTTGTACTCCATATGTAGATTCATCAATGTCATCTGAAGTACATTTTAAAGTTTTCCATATCATTTCATTTTACATTGTTTCATTACATGTTTTAACTTTTTCCATTCCACTAAACAATTAATGGTCAGATAATTTACATATTGCTTACACTTAAATGTTTCTAGGGTAGAAGGTAACTACGTTAGGAAAAAAAATGTAAAAGTCAAACATATTTCATCCAAAAAAATTCAGTTCAAGATAGACATGTTTCATTACCACCTTCATCGTATCCCATACTAAACGTTTTCACAACCATTACATGAACAAGCTCATCCCACAAATTTTAAGACCGGACACAATTTCATTGATAATTGTTGCTAGCTAAGATAAAACAAATGAACCAAAAAACAACGTTCCTTCACAAATCAAACAAATATAATTCAAATACCTAAACTGTTATTTCGTACTATCGCCCTTCGACGGACAGTTGCGGGAATCATGCCACCCCATTTTATCACAAGTTATGCACAATCTTTTCGGTTTCTTTGCATTCATGGATACCCTCTCTAACATACCAACAAGACGCTTTCCGGTTCCACAACCTTTATTATGTATCCTTGTTGGTGGTAAGACATCAACCGATTCAGGTTCGGAAACACATAAGAGCTCCTGAATATCATTTCTCTTCTGCTCAGTACCTATCAATATTGGAACCTCCACCGAAATTTCATCACCCAAACGTTCCAATTTCTCCACAAACTCTGTCAACGATCCCTTGTCATTTCGTACACGCCCAATAATAAGATCAAACATTGATATAGCCTGATTGATCAAAGCTTGTTTCTCAACATCCATTTCACCGTACCTAACTCGAGCCGACAACAACATAACAGGAACTAACTCTCGTCTCCATCGCGGCATGATGTATTTCTCGGGAATAGATTGCACCTCAGAATTTAACATTACCTTAAACGCGTGGCGACATAATATACCATTGCGAACAAAATGGTTGCAACTACAATCAAAAGACTCWTCCCTTAYATCATGAACCACCTAGCGTATCATAAATAAAGGAAGAGAAATTAGAAAAATTTAACAGAAAATGCGATTCTAATCAATTAATGTGAATATGAAATCAAAGAATTGATCATCACCTTGTACGTAGCTTTAACCTTAGAATTCTTGTTCTTATGTGTAATACTGTAAATCATCTTATCACCAACCTTTACTACTTCGACAACCCTACAAAACCATACTGCCTTGTTCATTTCCTTTTACACGTCAAAAAAAATTGGTTTTGTGTACACTTTCGCTGCTTGCGCTTCAATTTTGGATGGTGGCAACAATTTAGGTATTGTAGTTCTAGTCGCAACCTCAAGGGAACAGTGTTCTTTCCTTTGACTTTCGATTGCATCGTCGAAAGTGTTAAGAAAATAAACAAGATCATTCCAATACTTCGTATAAACATTAAAAAATGAATTAATACTCTTGGACTTGGAAGTGGTTCTCATCAGACCAGACATTGGATAGTCCTTGAAGTAGGCTGGAATCCAAGATTCTCTTATTGCATACATTTCTTCAAACCATGAGTGACCCCGTAGGCCATACTCATCCATCAGTGCATTCCATTTCTCCTCAAAAATTTCACGACTTATGTGTACATTCCATACGAGTTTGTTGAACTTGCTTTTGAACGGGGTTCCATGGGCTAAATGATCATGGATCTTGACAATGAAACAAACACACAAGCAAACAATAAACAAACCCTTTTTTTCATATGACCAATTTCGAAAAAACTTTGGTGATGAAACGCATAGTAAACAAACTTATGTATGCATATAATATAATTCATCCCAATAGTTGAAATTAGACATACCTTTTCCTTCACTTTTTTGGTTATGTGTCACATACACAATCGGTGAGTAGCTTCTAGAAAAACTATAGGTTTCGCTTGTTTCATTGCTGCACATTGATCGGTTATTACAAACTGCGGCTGACTACCGTGCGCTTTCATAAACGCCTTCAATACCCATGTGAAATTAATGACAGATTCATTTCTAATCAATGAAGCACCAACGACAACAGACTTCTTGTTATTGTCAATTGCAACAAATGGAACAAAAATCATTGCATATCTGTTACGATGGAAAAGAATCATATTAATGCATGATTGGATATAAATAAAACAATTTATAACAAATAATTAAAATAGCTTACTTGTTTGTCCGAAATGTAGCGTCAAATGATATGGTGTCTCCAAAATGTTTGTAATTCAATCTCGCTGTTTCATCTGCCCAAAATATTGCAATCAACTCCTTTTCATCACACTTATATTCAAAAAAATATTCAGGGCAATGTTCCCGCCGTTTGCTCATCTTGTTTATTAACATTTGTGCATCTTTGTTACCAACGAAGAGCATAATGTCTCTTCTAAAGTTCATATGATCCCTAGCTGTCCCACCAGATGATACTAAACCCCCGTTAATTGCCAATTGCATTCTGCGTGACTGAGTGATACCAACTTTATAGCTGGATGCGTGATAAACATTCCTTCGATCCTTGTAATCAAGTTGGCATCTTTAACGGGTGAACATCTTCTCATCCGAACGACAAAGCATATGATTATGACCCTCAATGAAAACCTCGTACCGGCCACTCTCTTTCACATATTGTACTTTAAGGCAAGCTTTACAACCAGTACGTTTGAAATTTGTATTACGCCTTCTCATCTCCCCCGATGAAACTTCTAAAGAATCAAAATTTTTTTTGGTGGATTACCCTCCTTGCTACAAACAAAATAATGGGTTTGCACTCCACCCAACGAGTTCATTTTTTTCCTTGCCAATCGGATATCAAACCCAGCAACATCGGCGTATTTCCTATACATATTTTCTACGGAATCAACTGATGAAAAGAATTCACCAACCTTTGGACATATATTGCTATCAACTTTAGGAATCCATAACTTCGTGCCCCCTGGTAATTCCCCTATTTCTTGTGATAATGCATCTAACAAGTACAAATAGAGAATACAAGAAAGTTATACTTATGAATCTTAACACGATCCATATGTTTCATTAACTCCTATTAGTTATCCGCAATATGCTCAAGTTTATGAAATTCGTTTATGAAACTATTCATTAAACTGTTTCATTACGAAATAAAGTGATTATAGTATGTGTATTTTTCATGTTTTTGAAATGGTTAATGAAACTGTTTCATCACTAAATGGTTTGCTTATTCTAGGCATATTTTTCATGTTCATGAAACTGTTTCATGACAAAATGGTTTGAAATATAGTAGGTGCATTTTTCATTTTCATGAAACTGTTTCAATATGAAATGGTTTCATTATAAAATTCATGTAACACTCATCATTATTCCGTTCTACTAATGTACTAAACAATATAAGATAACATTGCAGATTAGTCTAATGCAACTAAATCATTATCAAATGGTGTCCATTACTTTWCTAAAAACCATAACCATATTCTCAAATCCTACTAACTGATGTATACAAATACTCCTACTATGAAACACATTCAACGATACAAAGATGAACGAACATTAGTAGATACAGAAGATATACCATATCACCCATCTTCAGTCGCAGCAGCGTTATTGTAATTGTCATGCATTTCATTCGAACTAATACCTTCTCCCTGATCACTCATTGTCGTAGAGTAACGTATTTTTCTATGGCTTAAACGATATGAATATATATAACATCCATGCATTTAAATACAATGAATTCATAGTATTTTTTATTCAAGAAAACAATATCATGTATATCATATTATTAATGAAACTAATTTATTTTGTAAAGTAATATATTATTTTTATGTTAACATTTTTTAAAATAACATCCATCAATAAGTTATATTAAAAATATAAATAAAACACACCATAGTCAATTATATATAATGAATCATTTCAATAGAAATAAAAAAAATGAATTACATTATATGAATGAAATGGTTTCAAAATTTCATCAACAATCTAATGAAGGTATTACTGATCATATTTCGTAATTTTCATTTTACTGGTAGACGGATTCGTTAGATTTAGATAATGAAAATTTTTCATTGTTTACTGAGTTCATAAAATTTTATGATTAAACAATAAATAGTTTCATTGTCCTCATTTGATAATGAACTTTATTCACTTTTCGCTAATTCATCAGGGTTTTTATCCCTTATTCTGAAATTGTTCAAAGTCCTTCACATACCCATGTAAGTACGCATTTTATTCATTATCCAGTTATTTCATGATGAAACGGTTTCATTATGCACCTGTTTCATCTTGCAATTATTTCACGTTTCATGCTATATTACGCACCCGTTTCATTTACCATTTAATCTACTGAACGGATCACTTACACAATCACTGAAACGGTTTCACCATTAAAGCGGTTCATGACTTATTGATCAATTACATCATGAACCCGTTTCACCTTCATTAAACCGTTACATCTACTGAACGGATCCACTACAACATCCCTAAAACGTGGTTCACCATGAAACTAGTTCAATAGTCATGAATCAATTGGAACATGAACCAGTTTCACTTTCATGAACCTGTTTCGTTAACATTACATTTGTTATTTCACTTATGATTCGATGCATTCTTTTCTTTAATCCTCACAATCTTCAAGATTCAGGAGCAGATTACAATCTTCAAAGATTCCGAAGAAGAATCATCATGTATCCGTTTCATCATACACTTGTTTCATAATGAACCAAATACATTATGCATCCGTTTCATTTTCATTTTAATAACTAAACGGATCAACTCCATCATCAATGAAACGTGGTTCACCATGAAACTAGATCAATACTCATGAATCAATTAGAACATGAACCAGTTTCACCATCATGAAACTGTTTCATTGATGTTAAATTTTTTATTTCAACCTCAAATTAAGATTTCATTCCATATGGTGATCTAATCTTCAGCACACGTTTCCAGATTCAAAATAATAACAATATATTAAAATCAAATTTTTAATATTAAAATATAATAAAATATTTAAATGTTACCATTTATACAATTTCCTTTATTACGTTTTCTTATTTAATATTTATTAATAACTTCCATATTTAATATAAAATATTGTAAATGACCGAAATACCCTTATTAATTAAATTTAATTAGAAAAAAATAGAATTTTCCTATTGGTCGAAATTGGTTTTACACGGTTTCTTAGAAATTCACGGTTTTCATTTGAACATGCCCCTATATATATATATACCTATATTTCAGTTGGTGTTAGTTAGCTTTAATAGCTAATATAATGTCTTATTTAGATTTAATGGATCTTAATGCAATTTAAATGTTCCTAACTCGCTATCGTGGGTTATAAGTATCTTATCAAGTCTATTGCACACCACATACATATATGCAGTACATACCTATATACAAACATGTAATAATTCACATTGGTGTTACTGAGCTTTAATAAGTCATAAAAGGTTTTATTGGACTTTAATGGATCTTAGTGGTATTATCGAACCCAATACACACAACATACATATAATGTGTAGATGCCAGGATAAAAACACGTAATAAGTCATCAATGATCGTAAAGGGTTTTATTGGGCCTTACTTGGTTTATTGAGCTTTAATGAATCTATTGAGCTTTATACATTTGTATATATATATATATATATACACACATACACACAAATATTTATGCTTTAATTGGTATTAGTAGGCTTTAATAACTAACAAAATGTCTTATCGGGCTTTAATGATTCTTATTGGGCTATAGCGGATCTTAATGATCTTATTGAGATCAATACACACCCCATACATATATGTAGTATATACCTGCATACAAACATGTAAAAAGTAACCATTAGTGTTACTGGGACTTAATAGGTTATACAGGTTTCACTGGGTTGGGCTGTAGTAGGTCTTAATGGTCTTATCGAGCCCAATACACATCATATACATATATGCATATATCTGCGTACAAATATATAGTAACCATTGGTGTTATTGGGACTTAATAAGTCATAAAAGGGTCTTATTGAGCTTTAATGGATCTTAGTGGGTCTTATTGAGCTTTAATGGATCTTAGTGGGTCTTATTGAGCTTTAGTGAGTCTTAGTGGTCTTATTAAGTCTAATACACACCACATACATATATGTAGTACATACCTGCATAAAAACACGTAAAGAGTGACCATTGGTGTTATTAAGCCTTAATAAGTCATATTCGATCTTATTGAGCTTTAATGGATCTTAGTGGGTCTTGAGCTTTAGTAGTGGGTCTTATTGAGTCCAATACACATTACATACATATATGCAATACATACTTGCATCCAAATGGATATCAGTGGACTTTAATGAGTTTTATTGGGCTTTAAGCCTTTAAATGATATTATTAGGCTTTAATGATCTATTGGACTTGATTCAGTTTTGTGACGAATTTTTACTTAAGCAAATTATACCGAAAAACAAAAATCTAATAGTAACAATTTAAGGTTTCTAGATTGATTTTGGACAGATGTGGTTGATTATTTGTTTGTTTTCTACTCACTTTACAACTGTATGAGAAAGGAGGGATGAGACTCGTATACGCATTTGGGTTGCAAAATATGATGTATAACCCTCTCTTTTTATACTCTCTTATTTTATTTGAAAGATCTCGTTATTTGGGTTGTTAATTTGTTTTTATACTGAAATAAAGTTATCTAAATAGTCCTGTTGGGAATCCGACATATGTAAATCTTAATGTTAGAAAACGTAACCATTGTTTTGTTTCAGATTTTGCATAGCCATATGCAGGAACATGAAATTCAATGACACATTGTGGCCTTTTGGTTTTGTTGTAGCAATGAAGGATTCATGTTCCCTAAAATGAACGATAAAAGACTCTCATCTACATAAAAGACTTGGTAACTTGAGATTTTATTTTACTTTTTGTTAGCAGGTTGATTGGGAGAGAATGCAACAGATTTGTTTTGGGTTTTTCCACCAATAAGGCTCTTGATTTTTAGTAGCTGTGAATCCCTCAACTGATGAAGATTTCGTGGTTTTGTCTCAACCACTTATTTAAATCGAAGGTTAGTTAAACATGCCCATTGCAAATAACTTTGATCGGATGTAGTCATGGTTCTGTGCTCATATGAGTTTTTCTGGTATATGGGTCTTTAGGTGAAAAGTATTGTAAGTCCACTTTGATCAATCTTCAAGATAAACTTCAATAATCCATGGCAGATCTAAGATATAGAAATTAAGAACATGAGAGGAGATGAGAGGATTTGTCAACAAGTCAAACTCTATTTCTTTACGTATGTGTTTACAATGAAATCTCCTTACAAAATTACACTAAGTCTAATCTATTTATAGGGTCAAACTTGAACCGTTGAAAGTCAAAGTCAAACATAACATAAAAGTCAAACACGATGTCTATTACAATTATAGACAAAATCAACTTTCAAGATGAATATAATTTAACACTGATTTTCAGTCCTAATATTCTCCCCCTTTGTA